ATAGACTCTAGAGAAGAACATGTTATTGCCATTTCCTTAAATGTAATTTCGAACTGTACTCTAAATACGGATTCTTATGCCCACAGATAGCATGGCTCTCACCCTTCAACAAAGAGGCATCTTTTTTACAACAGATGGAGACTATTACAGAGGCCCACAACTGGTCAAAATGCATCTGAAATGCAACCCTACCCCTGGGACTCAGGGCAAATCATGGAAGAGAGGGCAAGAGCCAAAGGCTCCAAGACACCCATTGTTACACATTGTTCCTCTAAGCATGACAGGGAAAATGGGAAATTTCAGCAATATGGTTGCCCGAACAAGAACCGCATAATGACCATGTCAGTTGTCACCTTTCCCCTCAATATTCAAGCAACGGTGCAAACGACACCATACTTCTGCTTCTTCTGCACAGATCTGTGTGCAGCTGTCTGCTTATGTCCTTAAGACAAATTCCTGGAAGTAGAATGGCCTACTGAAAATAGCGCTTCCAAATTTGTTCACCATGTTGTCGAAGGGTGTGCCTTCTTACATTCCCAGCAGCCGCAGGCGGGGTTCAAACGTCTTAGCCAATAAGTACACCTTAAGAAAAGTACAGCTAGTCAGAAGGCGGGGCACATCTGGGGCTACCTTGTGGGGCCTAAAGCAGAGACCACACTGAGTTCCAAGGGCCATGAAAGTTTCTGAGTAAATCATGACTTGGCAGAGAAAGCAGGAAGGATAGAGCAAGAGGCAAGAAACAGAGAAGACACTGGGACCCAGGCCAGGTGAGGGAAGAGCACAGAGTGTGGAGATGGGGGACAGGGGGCTGGGATGGATAAAAAAGAGGATCCCAGAAAGACAAGGCAAAGGACACTCAAGTCTCTGGGGGAGTAACTAGAGAAGATGCGAAGGCTAAATCCGTTGGTAAGACTGCAGAAGCTGGCAGGAGGGGATTTTCAGAGAAAGCCTGGCTTGTTTTGCATAGCCTGACTGCCTTTGCTCAGCGCCCTCTCGGTCAGATCATTTGCTTAGGGATGGTCTGGGCTCCTGGCTGGCTTAAGGTAAAGCCTCAGACCCGATGAATGCGAGGTGTGGAAGGAGGGACGAGAATCAGGGAAAGGTGGAAATCCTCAGACAGTAGCAATGTACAAACAGGGCAGGATGCAAATGATGTATCTGAAATGCAACCCCACCCCTGGGGCTCGGGGCAAGAGGGCTCAAGAGGTGGGTCAAACTGGCAAAGGACTTCCCTTGCAAGCATGAGAACCTGAGTTTGATTCCCACAGCCCACATAAAATAATTGCTGGGTGTGGTAGCCTGCACTCGTAATCCCAGAGCTGAAAAGGCAGAAATAGGCAAATCCCTTGTGTTCTTTAGTCAGCAACCCAGCCTATCTGGAGAACTCTAGGTCGGTGAGGGACCATGCCTTAAAAGAAAACAAACGGACAAAAACTCAAAAAAAAAAACCCAAAGTGGTCGAGGCATGATGGATGATACCAAGGTTGACCTCTGGCCTGCATGCACTCATGCTCACGCATGCATCCGCACACACTTACACACATGCATGTACACACACGGAAGAGTGTCAGGAATCAAAACAGCTAAGGATGACTGAGATGGGGCCAATGGAAAGACGAAGACAACAGAACATTCCATGTGACAGGAGAAACAGAGGGAAATAATGACCCAAATAGGGACAATATGTTGTCAATGGTACAGATGTCTCCACACCAAGATGTTCCTCATGGACATAAAAAGAGGACATCCTCCAGGCTGCTGTGAGGGTAAAGGGAGCTCATTCTGAGCTTTTTCCGAGGACAGACTTAGAAAGGATGGGTTCACTGGGCCCAAGACAGTGGCAAGTGTGTGTGCTAACCAGGCCAACCAGAACAACTTCTGCTTTGCCCCCCTTGTGCCCGCCAGAAAGGCAGTCATTTGGGAGTGTTGGCAAGGAATGCCCAGCAATATAAAAGAAGATGGACAGTTTATTCTCTGTTGCAGAGAGTGGTACTGGGCAGCCCAAGTGCTTTTCATGTTTTTTAAAGTAAAATTCTAATCCAGAATAAGAAAGATGTCATATTCTGTCATAGGAATGTCGTGTATGGTACCTCAGGGGGTCAGAGAGATGGCTCAGCAGTTAAGAGCACTGACTGTTCTTCCTGGGGACCGGGGTTCAATTCCCAGCACCTGTTGGGGAAGTCCTGTGTATATGTCAATAAATTACTGCTGGCCAATAGGAATCTAGATAGGTGGGGCTAGGAGTCCAGGAGGACTCTGGGAAGGAGAAACACAGAGAGTCAACATGTAACGCCATGGGGGTAGGAAGCCTGGAACTATTCTCCGGTAAGAGACATACTTAGATTAACAATTATGGGGTAATTACTTAAGTCAGAGCTAGCTAGTAAGAAACAAGGAAGGCCAACGGCTTCATAATTAATATAGCCTCCTGTGTGTTTATTTGGGACTGATGCAGCTCTAGAACCAGGTTGGCGGGGAAAGCGGCTCTGGAACCAGGCTGGCGGGAAGGCTTCTCTCAAGAAAAAGCTTCTCGTAACAAGCACCCACATGGCAGCTCACAACTGTCTATGACTCCAGTATGACACAGACATACATGTAGGCAAAACACCAATGCAACTTGATACCTCACCTCTTAATTCACCAACAAAAGGTGAAGGTCTTTGGTATGATGGAAATGCACCCTCCTGAACATGACTCCTGAGTTAGAGAAAAAGTATTCTCTCAGAGAAGGTGGGTGTTCTAATGCAGTGTCCACACCTCCCTTCTCTTTCTAAGGCAATTTATTCTTTGAGCTGTGTCCCACCCCTGCCTCAGAAGGCGGGGGCAACCTTTCCCCAAGTCCCCCAGCTCTGCTTTGCCTGTTCTGGGACACAATTGTGAGTGTACACCAGACAGAACAAAACAGTGGCAATTGATGACAAATGGACTAAACTGGCCCCATATCCCCGCCCCACTTTTTGTTACCATGGAGACACCAGTCAACCAAACTCAGAGACCAGGAAATATCCATCAAGGGCTGTCTGGTTGACACAGGTGCTTTAGGATCCAGTATGCCAATGAAATCCTTCAGTCCACTGAGGATGAGATGGGAAATCTGAACTGACGTGCAGAGATGAGCTTTCTGTTTGGGACTGTAACTGTGTCTTGTCTCTCTCCCCCAGGAATGATGTCATTCTGATCCTTTGTGACCTAAGCCCCCTTTTCTCATTTCTATTCCTGACTTTCTTTCTATAAATATCTTTTTATTTTTTATTTCAGGTGTTCGAATGTTTTACCTATGTGTATGTACATGCACTGCATGTTTACCTGGTGCCTGTGGAGGCCAGAAGAGGGTGCTGGATCCCCTGAAACTGAAGTTCCTGATAGTTATACACTGCCATGTGAATGCTGGGAACTGAACCAGGTCCTCTGCAACAGTCGTAAGTGTTCTTAGCTGCTAAACCATCTCCCAGTCCCTACTCCTGATTTTCTTTCCTATCTACAAACTTCAAAGATAGGCAGCTACATACATGCTCAAGAAGGCTTGTAGCCAGAAGAACATTCCAGAGACTAGCTCATCATCAGTTCTCTTTAACTACTTTGGAAAATGGACAATAGAACCTAAGTACTATCAGAAGCCTTCCCCGACTCCCTCTCTTTGAGACAGTGAACATATCCTCCTAATTGAGAGGCAGAAGTGACTCTCTTGAAAAGGGCTGAGTCAAGAAAGCTGGACAGAGAAAAAGAGAAGGGAGCAAACATATTGTGCAGTTTACTGTTAGTTCTCTGAGAAGCAGGAAGCCAAGGGCCAAGTGTTAATGGAGTACGGGATAACCCAGCACACCTAGGGAGCACAGTTTCCCCCAAAATCACTATCATTAAGCATATACACGGAAAGAAAGGCACTTCCCTGGGACTCCTACTTTTTAATGCAAATATGTTCCTTTTTAGATGCTTTGAATCTGTGATTTGAATGGTTCAAATTCTACTCACCACAACTGCTATACTTCTATAACAAGCCTGGAAATACTTGGAGACTGGTTTAGTTTTCTGCTCTACACTTCTGGATACCCCTTGGTTACTTTGGTGATTCTGAAACTCAAGACCAGAATATTTGTAATCAATAGCCAAAAATCCAGCAAAGCTTGTAGCTTTTAGAAAGGACTCAAAATGCTCTCTGGCTCATAGAAATATGAAGTCTAACTATAGTGGGAACAGGAAATAATCCCCAACAAGCCTTTTCTTTTCTTTCATTGTGTTGCAGCCATGGAATAAAATGGAGATTGACTCCAATCAGCTGTGAGATTGAACCAATCAGAGGCCACAGGCCTCACTCCTTCCTCAAATTAAATCTAAGCCAATCAATTAACACTCATCTCTTATCTGACTCACACAAGGAAGTTTTCTGGGGCTTCTGACAAAGTGAGAAAGAGAGTTTCAAAATTTGTTGGGGGGAAAAATCAGCATAACCAACTTCCTTGTCTGTGATTGGAATAAAATAAATTGCTGAAGCCATGCTGCCACTGGAGACAAAGAGAGCATAGCAATGAGACAAAATAAAGCAGATCCTTGATGACTTAAACAGTTATTGCTAAGATCAAACCATCCTTGAATTCCGTGCAATCTATTTTTCTTCCAATGGACTAAGCCAGCAACTCTCCTCTGGTGCTTACGTTGATATGAGGCAGATTCTCAATTTGTTCATTTAACTTTTTTATAATTGATTAATTTTTTTAAATTTACAATTATTGTGTGTGTGAACATACCTGTACTGAGTCAGGGAGTATGTGGGCTACAGCATGGATGCATGCAGAGGTCAGGGAATAAATTTGTGGGTTTTGATTTTATTTTTTGCCTTTATGCAGGGATCAAAGTCAGGTCTCTAGGCTCGCATAGCAAAAGACTCCCAAAGCCATCTTGCCAGCCCTTAGTTGATTTTTAAACAAAGAGTTCTAACAAATTTTTTGTTTGAAAGAATAAAAGACTCTTAACTATAACAACATAAGCACTTAGACACGTGCTTAAATTGCCATTCGTATTTACTAACAGTGATCAACGAAAGTTGTGAGGTCCCAGAGATTAAGATGACAAATGAGATCTCCTCTCTGGAATTGGACTGGTTAAGGTGCCCATTCAATTGTCCTGACAGTATTATATTGTCATCAGCAGCTTCTGAGAGTCATTGTTGGAGGGCCATGTCAGAAGTGTGCTGTGCACAGATAACACTGCTATCTAGAGTTGAAGGAAGGAATTTGTTCTCATTGCTTCAGAGCCATGGAGCAACCACTTCCCAGTGAGGACTAAGGTACACGCTGCAGCATCTCAAGAGTCCTCAGCTTCAGGTATCCATCACGTCAACCTAGGGCATCAACCACAATGGCAAGAGTGAGGCTCCATCTGCCTCGAGAGCCATCGCAGGGGTACGGCACAGGCTGCTGTCCTCCTGTGCCTCCTGCCTCCATGCTCATGAAGAAGAACCAGGCTTCTTTCTGGCCTTTGTAAGATGTCTACTTGAAAGGACGAGTTCTGATGAAATGGTACTGTCCTTTGTTAAAACGGAGGCGTTGCGGTGGGAGGTAGGGGGGAGCCTCAGGTTAAGGAGCAAGACTTGGAAGCAGTCGATCGTGGCTCATAAGGAACTGAAGTAGGTGGTGGTAGTGGAAGCGATGAGAAAGGTGCCAATGAGGTGGGCTCTTTAGTGTTTACAGATTGGGACTGGCAGCCAAATGAGAAGTGAGGCTCGATTATGATTTCCTAATCTGGGGCGTTGGTAAAGGAAAACTATGTGTCTGATAACAGAGTCAGTAGGAGGCCATGGCTTTGTCCATAATTCAGTGAACTGGAGGGAAATCAGAGGGGGAAGGAATAGGTCTTAGATATGGGACATGCAAGGTCAAAACACTAGAGGTAGTCTTCTACCCCGGTATCTGCTAGGATTCTGTGACCAGAAAGACTGTAGAAAATGCTGCTAGGGAATGTGTTGGGGGCTAGAGCTGGAGGCTCCCTGCCTCGAAGAAGAATGTGTATGGTTAGATGGGGAGTCACAGATTAGTATTCTTTCATGAAAATCTCTACATGTCAGTCCATCAGTCCATCCACCAGGCAATCCAATCCGTCTACCCACCCATCTACCCATCCATCCATCCATCCATCCATCCATCCATCCATCCATCCTTCCACATAACTGAATTCTACTTTTATATCTCCTATTTTCTAGATTCTGTACTTTGGAAAGTCAAACACAAAACCTGTTCATCCCTAGACCAGCAGAATATAGCTAGTAAATTATAAAAATCTCCAAAAAGAATGCTAACCATCCACTTGGCAGACTTTTGCTGTACAGTGGGCCAGAATAATCAGGCATCTTTTTGTAGACTGAGGAGCTAGTCAAAGCTTTCCTTTAACCTAAGTGACAATGATTTAAATTCCAACGGAATATATAAAACCTTTTCTTTCTTTCTACCTTTCTTTCTTTCCTTTCTTCCTCCTTCTCTCCCTCCCTCCATTCCCTCCCCCCTCCCTCCCTTCCTTGGGACTACCTAACATAATATTATTTATTTCAGATCTGAAATTGATTTAGCAACCTTCACATCTTTCACAGATACTCACACTTTGTGTTGAGGGCAGGTCTTTGAGATTTGGCAGGTGCTTCTCCTTCAGAGAATAAGGCTGAATCTGGGGCTAAGGGTGGGGGGAGGCACCATTCTCTTGGCTACCCATCCCTACCTCAACAGTTCTCTGCTGAAAACCAAGGAAATCCTTCTATCCACAGAGAAATGGGTATATAAATGATAGACACAGATAGATGACAAGACAGATCAATAGATTGATAAATAATAGATAATAGAAGGTATATAGATAGATGCTATAAAGAAATACATATCACACACAGAGAGAGTTCTCATGTCTGTCTCCTTTCATCAACCTATGCTGACACCATCTAATGCTTGAATTGTTATGATAACCTACAAATAGGTCTCTCTAATTCTAAAATCACCCTTTTCATATTCATCTTATAGCTGAAATCCAGATATGACCATGGCCAGGCCACTTTACTTTAAATAGTTCCACAGTTCCTTTTGGGCTAGGATAAAATCCAAATTCCCTTCATGATTTCCTACACAACTATCTCCTTGGTAATCATTCTGAGAATTACCCCAGAATCACAGGGCTTCAGAGGAAGATGGCCACGTTGGAATGTGAGCCAGCCTATGGCTAGTCTTGGTCCTGAGTGGGCATTTGATCACATTTGGTCCAATATGCCTTTCTCTGCCATGTTGAACCTAGTAATGGCTCCCATTTGAGTGCACTGTCCATCATTGTTGCTGGACAGGAGCCTGCTGCAAGACGGAAGCAGAGAGTAGAGTCAGATGGGTCTTGTTACTCTGGAGCCGAGCTTCTGTTCTCAGTCTCAGGAGGAAGCCATGCCCTCCCCATTCAGATGCACCGTCAGTGCCTCCTTGGACTCTATGTACACCTCAAATACCCCTCTTTTCAAGTTCCCTTTGTATGTGTATTAACCAGTATCCAGTTCCTGTGTTTGCAACTCAAGGTTTTAATTGTGCACCTTCTGTTTGCTGAGTGAATAATTGGCTTGGCAGTAAGTAAGGCTTTCTAACAATCTAGTCTAAGGCAACTACAACAGGCCATGCCAGAAAACTCGTTTTCCAAATGGAAACATAGAAATTTCCCTCAATATTTCACCTCTCTCCATCTGCTTCTGTAATTTCACATCCCAAATACATGAGTGGTGACAGAGGCCTGTAATCTCACCTACTTCATGGGCTGAGGCAGGAGGATTGCCAAGCTTAAGGCCAGATGTCAAACAGTTGGTTTAAAATCTGTCATCAACTCTTACCTCTCCTGTGCTTCCTGGAACCATGGCACCCTCTCTTTGGAAAGAGGCTGTGGTGTCACAGCAACAGACAGATGTTTAGTCTTACCTGGGACCAAGCGTTCAGTTATCCCAGGAATTGTTGTGGTCATGCTGTTGTTAAAACCACTTCCATACTGATGGGCGAAGGTGCTGAGGCCTGGAGAGCAAGGCACTTTGCTGGAGGTTGGTCGAGTCTTGCTAGAATACAGAACCAATCCACCAGGCTCCATGCCCCGTGTCCTGATAATTTTCCTTGAGGCCTTCTCATCAGGTCTCCTGACCTGCTTTGGCTCTAGGCTTGGTTAAACTTTCAGAATGTGAACACTGATTTAATCCCCTGTCCATCAATCACTTCTTACCACTCCTGCCACATCAGAAATAAAATCACCTGAGTCCCAGATAGATAGATGGTTGATCATCCTGGCCAATGCCAGACTTAAATATCTCATAGCCATGGCCACTAGCTGAGTGGAACTATTTAGTTAAGAGTGTCACCTTGCTCAGCGTCACTGTCCTCTCCCTTCCTCCTCTCTCAGCATCACCAGCCTCCTTCTTCAGGGACCTAAAGGGTGATGTCAAGAGCTGTCACTGAAGGTCAGGCCAATGGAGAAACCTTGGGATAGGTCACAAAGGGTTAAGGCAGCTGCTGACAAAGCATGCAGTGGAGCTGTAGTGATACTGGTGACCAAGTCATCTGTCATCAGAGAACAAAGACCCACCCTCAGCCCTTCTACAGTTCGAGTCAGACCCGGGAAGCCACAGACATATATTCCCCTTTTAGTCTAAAGAAAAGATTTAGACTTGAAACAAAACTAAATTGTGTCAATATACAAAATGTCTTAAACATATATAAAGCATATATATATAGAAGATGATAAGGATATTTATGCATCAAACATTGTGAATAGAAAGAAGACCTTACACAGAATGACAAATTGTGTTATACAAATTATAAATCACCAGAAGATACAATAATCTACCTATATCCCATCCTAAGCATATCTATCCCATCTAAACCTTAAACTTATCTGAAAGAGATGCCCAAATCTGAATACCTCCTTCTAATACCAAACCTAAACAATTGAGAACTAACCCCAAACAGGTGTAATTATCCTTTAATGTCAACAGTAGGGAAAGGGGGCATAGTATTCTCAGAATTACTTCCTGCTGAAATGGGACAACAATACCTCATGGGATCCTGTAGGAAGAAAATGTTAAGAGTAGCAAAAGTCTTGAGTGGACAAGCTACATTTATGCCCAGTCTCTGTTTGGTGGGAGATTGAAGTTCCTTACTGAGGTTCTTATCTTGATTGAAGTTCTTGACTGAGGCTCTGGCCAGAATGTAATAAGAAGGTGTACAATGTCAGCTAACTAGTCTGGAGTTGTCTAGAGTGATGTAGTCCCAAACCGATTTTAGGGTAGTAATTGTCAGTTCAGATGCATCAAGTTGGTTCAAGTGAAATAGATGAAATGGAGCCCCATTTTCTTTCCAGAGAGTTTGAAGATTGCTGTTAGGACATTCTTTGTTTGCTGTGGAGGACTTAAACACTATGTCAACAAGGAAATTCAACGTTTATAGGTATGCATACCAGGAAAGGCAACAATAAGGATGATAATAAATATGAGGGAAATTAGACTTTCAGAGACTGACCCAAGTATAGACAAATGACAGTCCCTAGATTTTGTTTTCTTTTGGCTTCTTGATATAATACAGAAACTCTGAATTTCATTTTAAGAGCATGCTTGGGTTTAGAGGAGGAGAGCCAGATCCAACTCCAAAGCCAGCATTGGTTTAAGTGAATTGGGACTAAAAGAGTATTAGGAAGTAAAGGGAAATAGATTTTTGTAAAGATACAGGTTAAGAGAATTAGACATTGGTGCCGAATATCAGATCCATCTTTGTTTGATGGTTCTTTTTGGTTAGCTATCCTCTCTTCTTTAGGTATCTACACATTCAGTGTCTTCTTGCTTTTTGGAGTTGGATTAACTTGTTAGGACAAGAATAAAATACTTCCCTTTCTTTTGTGAAGTCTCCATGAAGCTCGTGGGACATGACTTTGTGGATGACCTGTCATCTTTCCTCACCCAGAGGTTTTTCCTGTTTGTATAGAATCTTGATCAGTTTTGATGGAATCCAAAGCTTTTCTTCTCCTATGGAAAGGAAGGCAAAACCCCTCCGCCAATGTAACACATATCCTGGTTTCCATACTGAGGTCATTAAACCCTTGAAATATACTGAGTGTTTTAGTTTAGAAGTTTTCTCTGTAGTCCAGTGTTGTTTGCAGCTGTTTGTCCTTTCTCATTTGCATTAAGAAAGTTTAATGTTAATAAAGCATTATGCAATCTGTGTTTGGGGGTCTTTGTTCCCCTGCCTGTTTATGGAGCATTTCTTTTAAAGTGTGGTTAGATCTCTCTACCACTGTTTGTCCTGTGGGGTTGTGTGGTATAACAATTATGTGCTTTATACTATAATATTTGAAAAACTGTTCCAATTTACTGGAGACATATGCTGGATCACTGTCAGTTTTTATTTGTGCAGGTATACCCATAATGGCCATTACTTCTAATAGGTGTGTGATAACAGAATCAGCCTTTTCAGAGCTAAGAGCAGTGGTCCATTGAAACCCTGAAAATGTGTCTATTGTAAGGCGCACATATTTTAAATTTCCAAATTCTGGAAAGTGAAATGCATCTATTGGCAAAATTTTGTTTTTATGTATACCTTTGGAATTACTGCCTGTTGGTAATGGAGCCTGATTATAGAATGAACAAGTAGGGCAGTTTCTTACTATTTCCTTGGCTTATTGCCAAGTGATGGAAAAATCCTTCTTTAAACCTTGGCTATTCATATGGTGTTTTTTATGAAATTTTGAGGCTTCTAGTATACTTCCTACTAATAAATGATCAATATCATCATTACTTTGTGCTAGAGGATCTGGCAGACCTACATGGGATCTGATATGTGTTATATACATAGGATGAGTCCTATTCCTCATAGTTTCTTGTAATTGTATACACAATGAAGTTAGTTCCATATCATCAGGAATAATTTCAGTGGTCTCAATCTGCATAGTCAGTAACTATATTGAGAGGCCCTGTAAAACTATAAGTACCATGAGAATGGCGTACAACTTTGCCTTTTGTACAGATTGTAAGGGCTCTGAACTACTTTACTTATATTTCCTGATTTATATTCTGCTTTACCTGATTTGTTTGCATCAGTATAGAATGTAGGGACTCCAGAGATTGGTGTTTTTCTACAATATGTGGAAGGATCCAACTAGTTTTCTTTATGAATTTGATTCTCTCACTTTTGGGATAATTGTTGCTAATAATTCCCAAAAAGTTACTGCAAGCCCTTTGCCAATATTCATTATCCTTCCATAAGGAGGACATTTTCTCATTAGTTAAAGGTACTATAATTTCTGTTGGGTCCCTTCCAGTTAGTTGACGAAGTCTTAATTTGCCTTTTAAAATTAAACCAGAGATCTTTTCTGTATATGTTTTTAGTTTTTTATTATGTTTATGTGGCAGAAATATCCATTCTAATATGATATCTTCCCTCTGCATCAAAATCCCTGAGGGGTATTCTCTAGATGGTAAAATAACCAGAATACTGTCTAGTTCTAGATCCACATAGTCCACATGTGTTTCTAGTATTCTCTTTTCTACCCATTCTAATTATTTTTCAGCTTCAGCTGACAATATTCGTGGACTATTTATGTCCCTACCCCCCTTTAGAGCCATTTTTAGATGTTTCAAATCATGCCCTTCTACTTCAATAATTGTCTGTCATTGAAAAATCTCTCCTAGTAGTTTTTGAAGATCATTAAGAGTCTGGTAACAATCTCCCCTGATCTGTACTTTCTGTGGTCTAATTTTTTTGTAGATCAATTTTGTAGCCTAAGCAATTGATAGAATCTCCTCTTACTTTGTGGCAGCTTCTTGCAGCTGGCCAAGGCAGCGGCTTTTTGGGTGCTCATCCGGCAAGCACTCCTGACACCAGCTGTTATGGAAAAGTAACAGTATACGGAATAAAGGTATTGTTATTTATTGTGAGAAAATACCTACACAAGAAACCAAAAACCCAGGTTAGTCTCTGCAGCCTTTTAACACCTGACTGGAACCCCAAAAAGAGGGCAAGTGCCTCTATCCTCAACCCTTTATTCCACATACCCATATGCACTTGCAGCCACACCCAAAATAGGCGTGGTCAGAGGGACAGGTGCCTAGGTCTCTACAGTGTGTGTGTGTGTGTGTGTGTGTGTGTGTGTGTGTGTGTGCATTTAGAGAGGCCAACATCAGTCAGGTATCATTCCTATGTCATCTACTTTGTCTCTGAGACATGCTCTCTTATTAACCTGGAATCTACTACTTACACTAAGCTGGCTGGCTGGGGATCTACCTGTCTCTGCCTCTGCAGAACTGTGTACCACCATGCTTTGGGGGGCCTAACTCCCGGTCCTCATACTGACATGGCAAACACTTTACTGGACAAGCTGTCTCCTCAGCCCCAAGAATGGGCGACTTTAAGAAGTTGGATTTTATCTCAGGCACCTATTGGGAACCCCAGTGTCTTTAGCTATAAAATAAGGACCTACTTTTTCACAAGGCCAGTGTGAGAATTCAATGAATAAATATGGACATGCCGAGCCTGGCAAAAGAATCACATAATAACTAGAACTATGGCTGTGTGGACAGGACAAAATGGAGAGTTTATGGACATAAGGGGTCAACAAGTCAGTGCTGGACTCAGCCAGGGAGGGCTCAACAGTACGTGTTACAGGGGCTATAGAAGGATGCCTGAACACTAGCCTGAAAAAAAATTGGTCCCAAGTAACAACTTATGACTTTAAAGTCATTGGAGGCAAGAGAAGACTTGATTAACCTGGCGGCAATAGGAATGGGGTAAGTGTCCAGGAAGGGTAGAGAGAAGGTCAAGCCTTTGTGCAGCACGCTGCCTGTCATTGGGAGAGGCCTCTGACGCCCACACTCAGCCATTGGGAGGGGCCTCTGATGGTCCCCGGACCCTGCAGAAAGGATGTCCATCTGCAAACTGCGCTGCCCTAGACTTCAGTTTCTAATGTTGCCATCTTCCTGTGCTTTCTTGCTCCAGCTCACCACTTTTTCCTCTCTCCCAGAACCCAGTGACTTCACACTTCTTCCTCTCCCCTCTTAAAACCTGCTCTACCAAGATTATTTAACAGTGCCATGGAACGGGGGAGGGGGGAGGGGGTTGGCGAGACAATGTAATGCTTGTGTCCCTGGGGACTCTAAGCGTAGTTTAACGGAAGAGGGCTTGCCTTATGTGCACAAAGGAGGCTTGCACTATAGAAATAAATAAAAGAATCTACACCACAGTTAGTTTCCTTTGAAAGTCAGTCTGACAAGTGTGGTCAGGCAACACTTTGGAGGTGTTGTCTTGTCTTTAAGTACAGGGTCAGTCATCAGAAATGCCTGATCCTTAGCCTAAGGACATGATCTTGGGTCATCCAAGTCACCTGCTCCTCCAGGGGATAAGACGGACCTGAGCTCAGCCTTTCAGTGGATGTCT